CTCTCTCTCTCTCTCTCTCTCTCTCTCTCTCTGTCTCTCACGCACACACACACAAGGAAAATAAGGCTTCCACCTTTGTCTCTCTCTGGATCAAGGCAAACTAGATTTTCAGTTCTCTAGTTTGATAATGAAAACGAAATTTCAGTTCTCTGTAAATCAAGGAAACAACATTTTTTACCCCTCGCTCTATCCTCTCGCTCTTGTTTCTCTCTCTTTAACAATGAAAAACAACAGAAAAACAGACACATTAAGGCTTACATTAAGGTATTAATCCTAAACAGCGAGATTGTTCAATAGCAAGATGCATAAAAAATATCAAATAAGAAAGAAGAAAATGAACAAAACTAACGAAATATTCAGGAATCGGATCACACAAACCAGAAAGAAATAAAATAGGGAATTTGATCGCAAGAGCACCGGATAACACGAAAGCCTGTACTCTTTTCGAGGAAATTCGAAAAGTTTATCTATAATCAGCACTCTTTTTGAAGAATTTCTAAGAAAAATTTCCATCGGAGGAGACACTCCAAGGTTTAATCTCTAAATGCAATACCAGCTCACAGATTTTTTAGTGAGAACAGAGGAAATGGATCACCATAAAAGTAGAACATGAGAAAGAAGAGAGATAATTGAGATTCTCTGGTACATATTAACAGAGAAGAGACTAAGAGAGAGAAAATTAGGTTTGATTGTACCGCACGAGAAGTTTTGAAGCTGGGACGATGACGCAGTGGAAGCCTGTGCGACTGCAACTGATGCTGAATTGAACCCTTCATTTCGAACATACAGAGCCCCTTAAAACTGTAGCTATTTATATACATCTCTTCTCTCGGAGGGAGGTGTTGGCCTCAGTTCGGGCCGAAACTAAATTCAGTGAAACTTCGCCAAAAACTCATCCGTAGACTTAACCAGGTAAAACAAATCCCCATATTTTCTCGATTTCTCTGGCTTTTCTTCTTCAACTAGTTGAGAGGGAGAAGATGAGTTATTTTGTCGACTTTCAAATGCCTATGATCATGCATTTTCTGATGGTACAATACTTTTGAGTCTTTTCTTGGGCCTAGACACCCCTGAAATTTCAAACAAGAAGGCTAGGAATTTTCATTCCCCCAATTTTCCTGTTAATTTGCGTGCCCTTAGTCACTAATAAGCTTGATCAGTGAAATCTAATACGGCGCAATCGTATGATTTTTTTTCATGTTTCCTCTGTTAAGGATGCAAGTTCATTGAGTGTTGTTGTTGATTAAAGCTCTGAGAAAGTAAAATTCTTGTAGGTTTTATTTTGGCTGGTCTCCAATCCCATGCCACACCCTTGTGGGCTTATGTCAATATAACAGAGAATCGAAGATTTAGAGGTGGATCAAGTACTTTGGGTCTGCAAATTTTGCACAAACAATTCCATGGAAGTTATTCTAGAGTGAGGGTCCATCTTCTAAAGATCAGAGGAGAAGGGGTTCAGTCTTGTAAAGGAGTAGACAAAGTGACCCTTGAAAAACTTAGGGGACTGCAATATGCTTGTGAAACCCTACGACAAATAACCTTAATCAACATAGGGCACTGCAGGAGCCTTGTAAAGGAAAATACCAAGTAACTCTTAAAAAAACTTTGGGGGGTTTCAAGGACAATTTGTTTGAAGAAACTGCATTAAAGCATGATGTAGTCAGTAACAAGAGAAGGATAGACGACCCTTCCTCAAGGCAATTGGACCCAATCTCTTGTGAGGCAAAAGATCGGGCAGTACCCAGATGTTTTTTATGCTAATGCATTGCCTTTTGAGCGAGCAAACGATTGGTAGTGGAAATATAATTTCAAGGAATTGAGTAATAGAATAAAAGATACAATGAAAGAAACAAAAGAAGATGTTGGAGATTACTTCGATCGGGTTTAATATACCCTTCATCGAGTATCCTCCTTCCGATGGTATTTCTTCTTGTTATGGCAAACCCCAAACAATACACATCGATCCCATTGCTTAGGCCTAATTCAATATAGATAGAAACCAAGAAATAAGGGAAAAAACTACTAGCTAGGGATGATCCATTTGCTGCCCAAAAAATCACATAACCAAAACCTAGCTTGATTTAAAATCCATGAGCGAGATTCAAGCTCATGCCTCCCTTAGGATAGTTTGTGAGAGAGAGAGAGAGAGAGAAACCTATGTGGGACGTGCCGCTTAGAGAAGTTAGAGAGATATTCTATTTTAGAGAGAGAAGAGAGAGTAACTAAGAGGTGTAGAGACAAGAGAGGAGAATACTATTTTATAGATTTTTCATGCATTAGGGCTTATCATAAAATCGTAGGAGCAAATCTTGACCATCAATCTAAAAAGACTTGTGGGGTGAGAGATGTGAGTCATCCATTCCCTAGATCCACTATCAAGATGCTAAGGAATGTGCTAAAACATTATCCCCCACTTCCTAAACTTATTCCCATCAAATAAATTAAATAAGAAAAATATTTCTTTACTTTCTCCAATAGTAAATATTCATTCTTTATTTCTCAATCAAACCTTCTTGGTTCTCAAGATTTTCTAAAACCACATATTTCATTCCTTTATTGTAAGTAGGCTTCTCTCCACAAAAAGAAAGCAAACTAATATGAGATGCCTCTCACATTATTTACCAAGAAAATGCAATCCCCTATGGGTGCGGTGTGCCACCCTTTGGTGGCCACTCATGGGCCCCACCCACTTGTCCCATGTGATTTAAATGAGGCCTCCAATAATTATGGAGGGTCTCACAAATTTTATAAACAATAAAAATTGATTTTTAGATTTTTTTTAAACCTCTTAGTTTATTTAAAACTTTAGAAATGAATTTCGCATGATTTATAAATCCAAATGACAAAATTAAAATATCAAAAAATTTATAAAAATTCAAACAAACATTCTAAAAATCAAATAACATAAAATTAACTAAATTAAATTAATTTTCATGAGAATCAGATTCGAATAGATCTAGGATTTAATAAACGCATAGAAGCAATCCACCTTCAACTGTGGACCACGATCCACACTAGCTTTCTCAAATTGACCCAGCAATTCCCATAACCCAGAGTCCACTGCAGGGGCTCATGATTGGACTGTCAAAGTCAATCAATGGATTAGGGGATGTAATCTTAGTCTGTGTATTTCAAGTTCTCTCCTAGAGATAAACCATGATCCGCCAGATGCAACCATGACTTTACGGTGCATAAGGGTAATCTCTCGTACATGTACATGCTTCACCCTCAATGGTGGATTACTATCTCCGTACGGCTAACTATGTACATGTCGTGTGATGATACAATGATGATGTTTTAGTCATGTCTCTATATGCTATTCACCGCACACAAGGGTCACATAGTCTCTCAGCTCTCATCTAGGCATGCTCCGACCTCATCAATGGTTAACCTACTAAACCCTCATCGGTTTCATCTCTATGCTCAGGTACGTTGGGTTTTCCAACTCGGCTGGCCTAGCACGTCAAGCCTAGTCTGAGTATCTTGCATAGTATAGTCCACAAGAGGACCACACTCCCATTAAGTGTTTGATTCATTTATTCAAATGTTTATACAATCTCTCTTAAGGCCTTTAAAGGTCATATAAACCCAACAGTTGATGTCATAAACCAAATTGGTGCGAAGAATGTTTTGCAAGTTATCACCGATAACGATTTGGCTTGTATAGGAATCGGGCTTGGGTCAAGGGGCGGCAATAGTTGGGTTTTCATATAACTACGTTTCAAGTTCCATTCCTATGTAACATTATCAAAAAAAAAAAAACAAAGCTAATGATTGGCTTGTAAAATTGTAGGATTGGGACTGGTGAAAGTCCATCCTCATATTTTCTGGACCCCTTATGTGGTGCACAGTTTGAAATATGCATTAGAAAGGATATGTTGCACTTCCAGTGGGGAAGTAAAATCACCTAATAGTAAACTGTGGAAATTGAGCAAGACATGAAGATTAATTAGGGGTTCTGCACTGGAAAATCCAAATGGATGCATAATGTACAACAGGTACCCTGTACTGAGCCTTTTAAGAGTTCTTGAAACTGGATTTGCAGCAACGACTATGATGGCAAAGCGATTTAAGTTGGTTCAGGATGTACTATGTCCTATGGTGATTGACCCGAATTGGGAGTCTTATGTGGAGGACAAATTGGAAATTACTCAAATCACAAGGACAGGATAATGGATGATTCTTGATGGGTTAGGATTGATTATCTTACCGATTTCAGTTCACCTATCTTCACTATGTTAATGGAGATGAACTGGTTCTTCATCAAGTCTAAGGCTGAAATAATTGAAAACGTGAAGATGGCTACATTTGAACATGAGAAGAAGGGCCCATTTCTCGATAAACCGAACTTTTTCAATGTGGTGAAGGAAATCCTTGAAGAGAAATGGGAAATGCCTATTCATTGAATTCTAAATACTATGGATACAAATGGCTCAAGGAAGAAGGCAAATGCATGGAAAAGATAGCACCTCATCAAGATGCCAATGTATTAGTGAATAGGATTGCATGCTTAAAGAGGCTATTTCCTGATCTTGAAAAGCTTCTTGAGGTTCATGGACAGTTTGGCATGCTGGCTAGTGGATAGAGAACTTTTAACTCATACCGACTGATCGAGATAATGATGAGCCCATTCACTGGTGGGCAAAGCATGGATACTCTATGCCCCTGCTCCAATCTTTGGCATTCAGATTTCTCTCTCACCAAGCTTTTTCATCTTGTTGTGAGAGAAGCTGGTATAACTACTCACTCATCTGTGAGCTCGTGAGTAATGGACCCAAAAGGTGATGGAAGGAAGACTTGATATTTGTCCATACAACCAAACATTTGATGTTGAGGCGGAGGGAGGAATACATGTATGCACATTTTTGGATGATTTTTTTTAAAATTTAAATAATTTGGCATGGGGAAGTATAGTATAATGCAACAAGCCACTGGAAAACCATTGCCAGTGGGTCATTACTGTCCAATGAAATGATGGATGGTCATGAATAGAGAGTGGGGCTCACTAGATTAAGACATGGCCACAATGGTGTTCCTACTCTTTGTACACCATTAGTTTTTTAGGGAGTGGTGATCCAATGGACCCGGAGCTGGATTAGGATTGAGAGTAGGGGATCTTGACATGCTGGTATATCCCTAGGGTTCAGAGTGCCTCCCTACAATGCATATATTTTTGAAAGAAAGACTTATGTGATCTTTTACTGAGGAATATATATATTTTTTTTTTCTTCACCCCTTTTTTTTGGCAAAAGATCACTTACATGTGGTATTTATTATATAATAAGATAAATTTCAAAATAAAATCAACATAACAATAAAACCAAGATCTTAACAACTTGATGTCATTGAAACAACTATGCACTATGCTTGAGAATAAAAGATAAGATTGCAAGAAAAAAAAGCAAGGGTGCCGAAGATTACCTCAACTGGACTTATTACAGCCCACACCGAGTCACCACCATCTGATGGCGCGATATCAACGGTCTAGCTTCAATCTCGAACCAGGAAACCAAATTTTTGCCAAGTCACATCAATGGAATATGAACCCTTTTGATCACAAACTCAAACCCTAGTTGAATTCTCTTAGCAACCTAGTTTGAGAGAGATGGATTCTCTTTTTGCTAAACCCTAAAACTCTTAGCCATATTTGAGAGATAGGAGAGAGAATAACTCCATAACCTAAACCCTTAGGTTCTTTCACAATATGGTAGAGAGAGATCAAACTTGAGAGAGATAAACTTTCTTAAGAGAGAGATATAAAGATACTGTGTAGAGATTTTGGGTAGAGACAATCTCTTGTTTATAGGCTTGAACAAGATTAGGGTTTCTTAAGGTTTTCCTTAGCTTATCTCTTATTGTGAGATTGAACATAAACCGTCGATCAAGGATGACTTGTGGGGTGAGAGATCTGAGTCATCCATTTCATAGATAGGCCATCAACATTATGGAAGGTGTATGGACTATTATCTCCCTTTCCTTAACCATTTTCCCATCAATAGAAATTAGATAAATTAATTAAAATATTATGCATTCCATAATCTTTCACAAAATATTCCAAAGATATATTAAGTCAATATACACTTTCAATATTTGGTCAATATATGGTCAAAATATTTCATATATTATTTTATCACATGCCATAACATAATATTACCAAAACATAAAATAACTTAAATTTCAATAAAGAATACAATAGGTGGAGCGTGCTACCCATGTGTGGCACATGTGGGCGCCACCCACTTAACACATGGTGGGCCCATGTGCACTATGGGCCCCTCCATGATATTTTATATAATTTTAAATTATCAAAAAAAATTCTAAACATCACTTGAATTTTATAATTTTGTAAAATCAATAGCTTCATTTTTATAAGTCCAAAAAAAGTATAAATAAAATATCAAATGACTCATAAAAATTCAAATAATAATTCTAAAATAATTTCAATCATAAAACAAACATAATTAAATTAACTTGATGGGAAATGGATCCATATGGTTAAGGAATTTAATTTGCAATCATGGGACACTCCACCTTCATATGTGGACTACAGACCACACTTGCTTTATCAAATAGGCCCAATGTTTTTCATGACCCACAGTCTAAGTAGAGGCTCATTAGTGGGTCACCAAAGTCTGACGGATGAGCCAAGGGGTTGCAATCTCAATCTGTGGATTACAGACAAGTCAAGGTCACCAAGGCCTTATGCGACCACAGCTTTATGGCGCATAGAG